ATCTGGGTTATAATATAATTCACCAAGCTATTAATTTCATGTATTATTTTCAAAATTACATAATGAATTTTTTTAAAGAAGCTTAAAATTAAATATTCCATACCTATATGAATTTGAATTAGAATGCTCTTGGAGATGGAAATCTGAAGCTAAAACATCTTCATCTTCGTCATCACTTTCCAGACTCTCCTCTGAATCATATTCTGCTCTACTTTGAGAAGCAGGTAGAAAAGGCTAAAATAAAAAAGTTACAGAATTTATCATCCAACTATCTGATTTAACACATTCAATTATACAGTCTAATATTAGCAATTTATCCCATTTTGGGGTACTTTGTTGTAAGAAAGCAAAGTAACCAGTACTTGGTTGCTTCTTTTTTGACATTCTATGCCTTCAACATCACTTTACACAATTCCCTTATTTATTCATCCAATCAACAAAAATTTATTAAGTATCCACTATGTGTGAAACGTATACTCAATGTAAGAAATTTTAAGACATATATATAGTCACTGTCCTCACAGCTCTTATATTTTAGTGGGGGAAAAAAACAGGCAAATAATAGAAAACTAAATATAAATTGTATTTAGCTGTGTTATAAAGAAGAAAATAGCATTGGGATCAAGAATATTAACAAGAGTTGAGATAAACTGATCATGAAAGGCCTCTTTGAAAAGTGTCATTTAAGTGAGACAAGAAGGAATAAGCCATTTAACAAGAGGGAAGAAAAGCATTTTAGGTAGTAGATATAGTATGTAAAAAGGCTTTAATAAGGTAAAAGAGTTTGGTATGGAAAAAAAGAAAAGAAGTTTGGCTGAAGCCTACTAAAGCAAGAGGGTTGTGTTGGGAGAAAAGTTGAAGAGAACAGCAGATGACAGATCAGGTAGGGTTTTTGTACAACACAGTAAAGAGTGTAATGGAATGCCACTGATGAGTTTTAAGTAGAGGATAGGTATTGAGATTTATACTTTAGGAATGTTACTATGACCATAGCCTTATGAGAGAAAAGTCAAATGTCAAGAGAAGAAATGGAGACATCAGTAACTAAGGCAAGAGTTGGCAGTCTGGATACAGGTGTGTGATGGAGATGGAGATAAATAACACATTCATGGTATATTTGGGGGAAAACACAGATTTACTGATCAATTTGGAGAGCAAGGGAAAGAGAAGGAAAAGACGATTTCTGGGTTTCTGGCTTGAGCAACTATAAGGATGAAGATGCCGTTTACTAAAATGGGAGGACTTTGGTTGTGACATGGGAAGTACTAAAGAAAATAAATATCAGAAACCTAAATCTTGAAGAAGATCAAGATTCACAGGTCAGACAGAAAAGGAAGAAGAAAGAAGACTATGAAGGAATAAATAGTAAGGTTAGGAAATAAACTAGAAGAGACTGGTATCAATACAACAAGAGAGAAAAGTAATTCAAAAAGGAGGAAATAGTCACATGGGTTGAATACTGCTAAGAAGTCAAATAAGATGATGACAAAGAAGTTTCCTATACTTGAAAACATGGATACCACCTGAATCTCAACAACAGCAGGTTTAGTGGCGTGGTAGTGTCACAAGTCATACAATGGGTAAATATGAACGGGACCTATGGTAATAGAAAGATAATGTGTTTATAGTTTTGAAAAGTTGAAGGAGAATGGGAAGCAGAGAAATGGGATAATAGTTCGAAAAAGTTTTGGGATCAAAGCAGGATTTGGAATGGGAGACAGCAGAGCACATTTCTGCTCTGAAGGGAAGAGCCAGTAGTGAAGAGAGAAGGGTAGAGAAGAAAAGCAAGGATAGGATTCAGAATAGCAATGAATCTTTGATAGGAAGGATGCTTCCTTGATAATAACAAGAGAGAACAAGAGAATGATGAAAGACTTTTGTCTGGTTCTATTTTTTTTTTAATGACATAAGATGATGTCATCAATTAAGAGTGAGGATGAAAGAAGAGATGTGGGAAATTTGAAAAGAAAACTTATAAAATCTTGGGTCCAAAGAAGCCCAATAAAGAAACATAGCAGGGAGGGCAGAAATTCTGGAAAAGCTGAGCGAGGAGTTTGGTAAGTCCTCTTCCCAAAAAGCAGTAATGAAACTGGAAAAAGTTGTCAAAAACAACCATTTAAAGATACTGGAAACTGATCAAATACATACAACACATAGAGAAGTATTTATTCAAGAAAAACTACTGAATCTCTGGTAAAAAGTGAGCATCTGGCATTTTGGCCAGGCGGTACTCCTAACCCAACCTCTGCCCTCTGTGGCCCATTTGTTCTATCAGGGACAGCAGTCTGTGAGGACAAAGAACTCTGTGGCCTGGCCAGAGGGGGCTGACTTTAATAAGAACTCCATGCCCATAAATCCAGAGAAAACTATAATTCGAAAAGATACATGCACCCCACTGTTCACTGCAGCACCATTTACAACAGCCAAGACATGGAAACAACCTAAATATCCATTGACAGATGAATGGATAAAGAAGATGTGGCACATATATATAATGGAATACTACTCAGCCATTAAAAAGAATGAAATAATGACATTTGCAGCAACATGGATGGACCTAGAGATTATAAGAAGTGAACTGGGGCTTCCCTGGTGGCGCAGTGGTTGAGAGTCCGCCTGCCAATGCAGGGGACACGGGTTCGTGCCCCGGTCCGGGAAGATCCCATATGCCGCGGAGCGGCTGGGCCCGTGAGCCATGGCCGCTGAGCCTGCGCGTCCGGAGCCTGTGCTCCGCCACGGGAGAGGCCACAGCAGTGAGAGGCCCGCATACCGCAAAAAAAAAAAAAAAAAAAAAAAAAAAAAAAGAAGTGAAGTAAGTCAGAAACAGAAAGATAAATACCATATAATATCACTTAAATGTGGAATCTAAAATATGGCATAAATGAACTTATCTACGAAACAGAAACAGACTCACAGACGTAGAGAACAGACTTGTGGTTGCCAAGAGGGAGGTGAGGTAGGGATTGGGACTTTGGGATTAGGGGATGCAAACTATTATACAGAGAATGGATAAACAACAAGGTCCTCAATCTATATTCAATATCATGTGATAAACCATATGAAAAATATGAAAAATAATGTATATAAATGAATACTTGAATCACTTTGCTGTACAGTAGAAATTAACACAACATTGTAAATCAACTATACTTCAATTAAAAAAACAACAACAACAACGAATTCCATGCCCAGCAGCATTGTCAAAAACAAGAGTTCTCAGCAGCAAACAATTAAGGAAGGTTAACATTTCAACTAGCCTGAGGCTGAGATACAGATTGGAACAAGGGCAGACCAGCCAGAAATTTAACCAGATCCAGGAACAAGACAACTAAAGAAGGCCTTGCTAATCAAGAATCATATACCCAGCAAAAGTAAAAGTATGCTTTAAAAATGAAGATGAAATAAAGATATTCCAATATAAACAGAGTACATAATAAACATCTGTTGAATGAATCAATGACTGCAAAAGGCAATGTGAAACAAGGTGATATAAATGCCCTTCTTTACCCTGAAGCATGCAAAAATTACAAATGTTCTGTGACCATTTAAAAATTTGTCAGAACATTAAAAACTTTTACAGTCAGCTATAAATGTACAGGAAAATGAAAAAAAATAGTAAAAACAATACTTATTTAGTATACTGTAATTAGAAACAGTGAGAATTAAAGTGTTTTATTTCTTTGTAAGGAAGTTATCAAGAGTACTTTGAACAGTGCCGGCCTTCTTCTAACTCAGGAATCAAAGCAAGCTTCTTTTCTAATCGTTAGCAAATCGCCATACTCCTTTCTAAGTTTGTATCAGCGTCCAACTTTTTACTCTTTGCACTTTCAATGTTGTGAAATATTACCCAGTTCTTTTAATGTGAAGTTTTTTGCCAATTTCACTATCTCTGGGACATCTTCATCCTTTTGCCACACTTTCCTCATTTATGTTGATAAGCTGGCCTTTACTAATTGCCTCTGGCTGTACATATAAAATGTATCAAATGACAGCAATGTCAGTATTCCCAAAGTTAGCTATTTCTTCTATAACTTTACTTATATTTGATTTGAATTTCACTTCCAGTACTATCACTTTTCATTTTTCAGTTGCACTTTTATCTGTGTTAGCCAATTCCCTCTTCTGATTAGCCAGTTTTGTAAAATGTCACTTGAGTTTATTATGGGAGATAAGGAGGCAAGACAACCACATGCCTTTCTGTCTGTGTATGAACTGAATACTGAATAACAGGTACTAAATGACCAATCACTGACAGACTTTGAAAGAACTGTTGTGATTGGTCACTGATCATGATTTGTGGACTGAATAGCTAGCAGGAAAGTTTGTACTTTATGTGATTACTCATATTTAATAAATTGTGGTAACTTTAAAATTGAACAGTGTTGTTGAGGGACTGATGTTATTTAACTAAAAACTGAAATCTGTGTATATCAGGACAATGCAGGACTGCCTGGAGTATAGAAAAGGAATTAGAATATGGATGGCACTTTGACTTCTGGCAGTCTTGATTCCTTAATTACTATCAAGCATTAAGGTGCTAATAACCAATTTATCTTTTCATCTTACTAAGAACGTTGCTTTGTTTAAAATGCAAAGATCATAATTTATAAAAGAACTGCCTTAAAACCTGGTTGAAATATGTCCAAAATATTTTAGGGTATATTTTGTGATAATGTACCCTGATAAAATGAAAATTTTCTAAACCAGTGTGGAAAAATATTTGGAAACACCAACAATTACACTTATTTTAAACAGTTTCATTTCTGTTTAACTACACAAATAATCATCTGGATAACACTTGTATTACCTTGGCAATGAAATAGTCCCAGATACTGAGCTCAGGTGGAATGAACTTCTCTTTAACTATCAGTGATTCCTGGCTTACTGGTGGTGAGGAAGAGGTCACTGAAGCAGATTCTCTGTAAGACATTTTTGATGGCCTAAAACGTTTGTTCTGTTTCTCTCCTTCTTCCACTAGTGAAGAAACTAACAAGAACAAAATAAAGTATTATAAAATAAGTACAATTTTCATTGTTCTGATTTCACCTATTTTTACGTAAGACCTAAGGTTAACTACAAGTAAGTACATACACAAAACTGAGATTATTATGATAGTAAGGTAAGAAAATAGTGGAGGAAGTGAGACAAAAATCATCTTGTATAGTGATCTTTGTTTTTATCTCATCTTGTCCCTTACTCTCTGAATGTTGAGTTATCTAAATTATCTACATCTTTCTATTTTGTTTCTTAAGAATATCATGGGGCGGGGGGGAAGAATACCATGGGATGTCAGTGGTAATTAAAGGCAACAACTCAGTTATGAGATTCTTCAGTAATCACTTGGCCTTTTATCTACTAAAAAACTACTACTAATTTTTCACTGAAAATATTAAAAAATTCAAACACCAAAACTACCTACTAAACTGATTCAGACTTTTAGAAATGGCTTGGAGGTAGAATTTTCTACTCAGTGGAACAACAAAGAAGAGGGAGAAAATGCAATCTTTATTGTTTTAACTTCTAAACATTTAACAGTCAATATTCTCTAAGTATTTTACCTTAGAGTATTAAGGGCATTAGCAAAGAAAAACAAGTTATACAAATCTTTAATCAATACTAAGTCACTAGATGCAAATCACCAATAGAAAATCAAGGATCTCCTGGACATAGTCATGGTCTAATAGATAGGTAAACAACCCCATACTAAGGCACACCAATATTCTTCTTTAATGGTTACAGCAAGAAGTCACTTACCTTCCAAAGGAATACAAGTATTTGTGTTTTAATACAATTTTGTTTTATTGCTTGAAGCTACTTAGCTTGCATAAACAGCATGCTCATGCATTATATCAAGCTACAGCCAAGCTGAGTCTAACAGAATAATTTAGTTACTTCAGAAAAAATGAAATAAAGATGAATAAAATCAGTATACAAAGGGATTGCTAAAAATGGTATGTAATCATTCAAATGACTTTAAAAAGAACCATCATATTCAATGTGTAATTTTTTCTCTCTGATCTTATAAGCAATTGATAATCAACAATCATGTTTCTAATATATTGCATACATTTATATACATTCTAAAACTTAAACAGTGGTTTTACCAAATTCTCATTTGAGTAAAAAGTTTAGAATATAAGGGTATTTTTTTAATCTGTCAAAAAAATTAATGCTATGCTTTAAAATAAATTTATCACTTGACAAATATTACTATTCTCCTTGTTTTGTTTTTAGATTATTAGAAGGCATGTGATGTGAACACAGACGTTTAGGGAAAAATAAAACTTACAATGCTAAATTCACAGATTTTACCAAGCTTGCTATGTCATAAAAAAGCACAGTTTTTAAAGCAAAACATAAAAAAAATTTTTTAAGAGAGAAAAACATTTGCAAGTACAGTGTGTGAACCCAGATAATTGACATGAAAACAAGAAATTAACCACACTGAGGGGAAACATTTAAAATTACAGACTCAATTCCAGAAGTATAAAACTTCTTATTGAAACATTTCTGATGCACAAGGACAACAGGGGAAAAACGGCAAACAGGTTCACAGTACCGAATGTTATATTACCTGAAATGCTACAAATTAAAAGACCTTAGTGATACCTCCTAGCAAACAAGAAATGATTTGAAGCTTATCATTAGGGTAGATGCTCCCTCCTCTTTTCCCTCAAATTGCAGCAAGGCCTAAGACAACTTTATGCTTATATCACGTTGGGTTCGAGTGGTCATGAAGCTGAGGGGCACCAAGAGAAACTGTAGCTGCTGGGTGCTTAACCATTTGTTTCTGAAAAAAGCTAATAATAAAATATCAAGAACTGTGTCACTCCTTGGATACAAACTGATTCTACTGTTCCATTATTAAGGTAGTAAATGGCTACTTTACTAGTAATAAAAGAAAAAAATCAGCATTAGGGAGAAATGAAAAGGAACTTGGATATAGATAGAGCTTATGAATTATAAGGGGCATTAAGAAGTTAGAATGTAGGTAAAGAAAAACTAAGGTATGCACAGGAATAACGACAATTCTTATACCTGCAAACATTATTATGAAACACAACAAAAATTCTTAAAATATTTTGTTTTGCTTTACAATATGCAATAAAAAGCAAAAGTATGGATTTCTCACTGTTAGCAGAAAAAAAAGTAGTTTTTCAAAAACTGCTATTGCTTATATGATTGTCTACTTTAAAACTTAACCATAATAGAATAATTCAGAACTCCATGAACATTCACCCACGCTATAGTTTTAATTAATTAGAAAAAATAAATCCCTCATTAACATATGTAGGAATCACAAAGTAAATTTGATTAAAAAATAAAATACTGATTTATGTACCTTAACATTTTTGTTAAGAACTCTGACCTGCTGAGTTAAAGTCGAATAAAAATCATCTACCATTTTCTTATATTACAAAGCTTAAGTCATATTTAAATTTTATGTCACTAAAAGTACATTAAGTATATAATAGACATGTAGAAAGAAAAATAATTTAGTTCGTAAGACCATTATTGCAAAGAAAATTAAAATCAGAATTTATACCAGAACAAGGAAAACAAATGGTAACTTTTAAAATCTTCTCATAGTACTAAGTTTATGAAAACACTTTTTAAAAACAGATTTTTAAGGGTTCTAAGCATGTATTTCATCTTCAATATACAATACATTGACACTGAATAGATGAATAGGTTGTCAGGAAAATGAAATATTCTAGACCTGTCAGTTTTCATTTGGCCATATTTAAACACTAGAAACTAAAAATATATCAATATATATAACAATTTTGGCTGAATTCAGATCAACTTTTCTAAAACACATCATTTTATTCTCTTGGTCAACAATGTATACTGAATATTATCTAATTTAATTACACTCTTAAGACATCATGATTACATTCAACAGTAATTTGAACATACAGGGCTGCTTACTTACAACCTAAAATTTATCAAGCTGCTGTGCTGCTTTAGTTGGTGTGCTTTCAGGACAACATAATAATGCCTTCAAAACCTGAAATTTCAGAACTCTGCCTTATACTGAAAGCCACCCCTGCTTGTCCCTTTGTCTTGGTTGATTTTCTGTTCTCAGATTTTGTCTCTCCAACTGTCAGTTTATCTGCCTCACAGGACTGCTACTTCTAATTGCTATTACTGCCTTTACTACCTAGTATCTTCACTTCTTCCCTTTATTCTGTTTTTCTATTTTTTTCTTTTTCTACTTGTTCCTTCACAAACTAAATCAGCTTTAGAAATAGCAGACCTTTGGTTTCATCATTAAATGAGCGTACTCTTTTTTCTGGTTAGCAAATTGATGAATCATATCATTTATGTTTTCTGTACATGCTCCTTCAGTTACATCCATGATTGACTGCATTCAGAATTGTTTCTGGGTTCTTATAGACAGATGAGCATCACATAATCTATATGTGGCTATATCCAGCCCCATCACTAAGAAAACCTCATTTTTTAAGTATCCTGTATTATTTGGCTACCATGTCCCAACGCAAGAGGTTAAACATACAGATGCAGACAATTTTTTTCACTTTGATTATTTCGGATTCAGTAAGTGGTGAGATAGAGTTGATTATATGATATTTGTAACTACAAACAGCTATATCTGAGTGGTTAAACAAAGAACAACCTGGACTTTGAGTAAGGTTGTTTATGTATCTGTGCTCAGAAATGCTCCAGGAATTGTTGAAGTTGAGGCTTGCTGACTGGTTAGTAAAAATATATTTTTAATTTTTTACAAGTATGTGGACATTCTATTTCAAGAATTTATCCCTTTATAACATGTTGTAATAACAAGATCACAGTCTTTAATCTCAGTAGACCTATAAATCGTACTCCCTCTCAGACTTTGAAATTTTTCCTAAAATGAATTCAAATACCTGAAGTTAAGTATATATTCCAACATGAGTTTCGTAAGTTAGTCTTTTCTATTTTTATCCATATAAAAAATAAAGCACAGGAAATTACTCTTTAAAAATTAGAAAGGAGATGTTACAAAATTTAAAATATTGTTAAAAATTTTAAAGCCAAGATTATCACATATGGGCTAATAAAAAAAACTTAAAGGCAGAAAGCATCATGAAGATTCTTTTCAGGTCAAAAGCTTGTTTCAATCTTTAAATAAATACAGTACCTATAGTTACAACATTAGAAAGTTAAGAAAAGGTAATACAATTGTTTAAAATACTTACTTTGCATGATATTATGAACACTTAGAAATCCAAAACCCTAATGGCTGGAATCATAATATGCAGAACATAAAGCAGCCTTATTTGAAATGTTTTTCCAGTCATTTCAAGCCATAGTCTGATTTATCATGATTAGCACTGACGTTTCTTTATTTCTACACATTTAAAAATATGTTAAAGTCTAAGGAATAGAAAACATCAAAATGAAGAACTTAAAGCATAATAAAAAAGCAGGGATGGTTTTCTAAAATGCTAATCATTGTTTTAAATCAAAAATATGACTTGATTAATGGAAAATTTTCAGTTTGCTAAGTGCCAAACAAAATAAAACTGGCCCACTGTACCCCAACCCCTCCAAAACAACACAAAGCAAGCTGAACTGTAAAAGCCTATTTCTAAAGCTAATATCTTGCCTGCAAGACTGGGAGGGCTATGAGAACTGATGGTTGAAAGAGCTTTGGAAAAGCCCACACATTCCATGGAGAATACCACTACCTGGTGGGGGCTAGGCATAGCAAAGTACCTTCCTGCCAAAGAAAGAAGAGAGATCTGATTTGGGATAGAACAAAAACCAATGTTACAGTATATTTCAAAACAAATGAAAATTTCAATAGTAAAAGATTTTAAATTACATTAGATAGTTCTAATCACTGGTGCATGAGTATCTTAAAGTTTGATAATTACACCAGAAACTTTATACTGCATATTTACCACAAAACTATTTGTTCATGCTTTAAGAAAATGGTCTGTAACAGAAATTTCTGTGAATGAATTAAAATGTAATTACATTTAACAAAGTTATCATTCAGATGAAAAAATAAAGCTGTAGCCTTAAAAAATAAAATAAAATAGTTTAAAAACTAACCAGGTAAAGCTTTTGAGCGTGTCTGTTCTTTGCTGGGAACATGTGCACCTCCACCAAATACAGCAGACCACATTTTTTCATTTAGAGGGTGGGCCACAATCCGAAATAGTTCGTTACTAGAATGTGTTGCCAAGCCATGGATGAAGAGACTAAGATACACTGCTGTGAGAATCTCACAGAGCAAGACTGTAAGCCCTGACTGGGCTTCCTCCCCAGAAGAATTCAAAAGTCGAATTAGAGAAGTTATTCCTAGGAGAAACAACAAACATAGCTACCATTAGCTATCATTGACAATAAATTAATAAATAATCAACATTTCCTAATTTTTGAAAAAAGTTACAGCATCAGGATTAAAATATTTTCTGCCACAGATTCATAGACTAGGAGAGGTTATTGCAGTTAATGCATAAATGTTGAGCTACTTGTTCAATTTAGACAAACGCTGGAAATCTGTTATCTGATTCAAATCTGATAGATAAAATTTCATTGCCATAACAAATGTTTTTCTATTAAGACAAAAGCAAAATTATAAAAAGTGATATAACAAAATATTTGAGTTATTTTAGTATGATGATAAAGGAAAAACTAACATTACATAACTGGATAATTTGTAATAAGTGGTGAATAATAAACTGGTATCAATTCTAACAATAGTTAAGAACAATGATTATCATACAGCAAACCCAAGCCAAACCTACTTTTTCCTCATCTGATTAAATTCAATAAGGCTAAGAAAAACACTCACACATATATAAATTATTTATACCTGGCCACTGAGCTGGTGATGTATTGGGAGTTATGGCTTCATCTAAGCTTCCTGTTTTCAAAGAATGTCGATGGGGAAGCAGTACTGTCTGATACACCATTCCAGTAAACTGATTTGTTTGAAATGAACTAAGAAAAAAAAAATTTAAATAATAACAATCTATAATGACTTACAATAACAACGATATAATAAAACAATAATAACATACAATGATCTAAAATGAATTTCACACGTAATACTTCCATGTTTTAGATCTATCATCTAGGGTACCTTAAATACAAAATTTTGTGTATTAGTTATACTGCTTTACACCTAAGTACTGTGCTTTATAGTCTAGTATTATAATAAAACAAAGTGCCCTTTATATTTTCTAAATTAAAACAGATATGATAGCTTTTAAATATATTTACTGTAAGACATAAAATATGTACAAATGAAAAAACTATATCATTATTGACCACAAGTAGCAAGCTTATATATCAAAATTTAAAACAAGGTTACTGAGTTGAAAAAGTCAGTTTAGGTTCAATTTGATATTTAATGGCTATTCTACCCTACACTAGGGTAGGTTATATCAGGTATATGCACCAGATAACAGGTGTTTAATGAAACACATGGTTTCCGTCCTCATGCGATTTATAGTCTGGTGGGGGAATCAGACACAAATAATTTTATCATACTGTTTTTAAAGACAAAACCTATGCATACAGTGATATGAAAGCAAAAGGGAGGAATGTTTTCACACAGTTTGGGAATTCAGGGTAAGCTTCTCTAATTAAATGGCACTTTAAGCTAAAACTAAATAAACTGATCAATGGACAAAATAAATTACAGCTTGACACAAACTATGAAATAAATACGATAGAAAAATGGTACGAAAAATTTGTTAAACCCTGTCAGTAGTTCCTATATCATATGTTAAGTAAATGAATATAATATTTAAAAATAGCACACTTATTTGTTTAGATCTGTTCTAACTGGCAAGTTGTCTTAGTTCTAACAGTTTGATACATATGGAAATAGCTTCTCTTGCTTTACTTTCCATTTTCAAGATGGAAGAGTAACAAAAACCAAAAATCTCCCCTGCTAAAGTAAGCCTATGGAAATGATAAGAAAGATAAAAATATGTTGATGAAAACAAAGCCATACTCAGTAATAAGAAAGTGAACTTTTGGAGGACCAAGGTCAAAGAAATCAAGTTGAAGCTACTATGGGAATACATAACCAGAGTAGTAAGTTGAGGTGACCCCTGGGAGAATTCAAACACATAAGATAAACAGATAATCAAAAATCAACACAAAGGAATGTTGACATCATGTAAGAGAAAACAAACTCAGCGACATACCTACACCTGAGGAAGCAAAGACCTACCAGAACATTAAGGAAAGTGGTTTATACTCAGAGATGTTAAAAAAAAATAAAACTAAAAAAAAAGACAGTAAGTTATTTTTTTTAAGTGGCTATTAAAATAAATAAAGAGATATTAAAATTGAAAATAGAATTTCTAAAACAAACTCAAATAGGCTAAATAAAAGACAGGACATTGCTGAAGAATGAATTACTGTCTGGACAATGAAGCTAGGATTTCTCCTGAAATGAAGCAAAAAATAAATAAAGAAATAATGAAAGGGATCATTTCAGAGGAAAGCTAAAAGAAAAATAAGAGGGACCCACAAGTTCCAATATCTGTCTCATATAAGGAAAGAGAAGAGAGAAGATAAAATATTTGAAGAAATAGAGTAAGGGAATTTCAAAGAACTAAAGAAAGATATAGACCCCCACACTGTCAAACAACATGTTTTGAAAGCCTAGATAAATTATCTAGGCTTTAAATTATTTAGGCTTTATTATCTTTATGTCCTAAGTGAAACCGTTAGGACATAAAGAGAAAAATCATAAACATCAACTACTCTGTAAAATTTTTCTCAGTTCCAAGTCAGTCACTCCCTCCTCTGTGCTCCCTGAGATTTTACTACCTATCATCTTATAGGACATATCATTTAAGTATGATGTTACATATCATTTATCATTTCACATGTTTGTCTCTAACTAGATTGACCTTAAGGAAGGAGATCTTATTCCAGCGTATATCACAATGTCCAGCATTAGACAGTGATCAATAAAAGGCTGCTAAATAAGTTATATTGTGAAGAGTTTACTTGAGATGCATTTGCCATAAAGACATATGCTAAAATTTCAAAGATGAAAAAAAAGGACTCAACACTTCAGCCATATGCTTTTTGCATTATTTAAGGTGGGCTGCAGTACACAGGATTTCTAGAGCAAGAGCATACAAATTCTCAAACCTCATCAGTTACTGCAAACATTCTTAAATTTCACAAGATATTTACCTGTAGTTATGACTACCACAAAGGCACTGATAAATACAAGCAGAAAGTGAAGCTGCTAAAGTATGCATTACATATACCTGGAAAAAAAAAAAACAACAGAGTTATAACTTTGAAAAATGTAGCTTTTTTTCAAGACCTAATATAATCAACATTTTAAAAAAGATGAAAAAACGATTTTGCCCTTATAAACTATTTCCTTTTTCTCCCTAATACTCATTTCTGTCTGAAAGGTCTTGTGACAAACAAATTAAAAACACACACACAAACAAACACACAAAACCTGAGGACTTTGGCAGAAATTATAAAACAGACACCTACTACCTAATTTGTTTTAAGGGCAAACGAGAACAGATGTTAGCTTATTCAGTAGTGCAATGAGCCATGCATTAAAAGCAAGCCCTCCAAGACTTAAACTGCTCCTTCTTCAACCAAAATATGAAGTCCAGCCTGGTAAATGACAGTTCACTTATGAACAGATCACTGAAGAATATGCTATCACACAGTCGAGTAACTACAGAAAACAATTTGAAGAGAGTGAAATTTTAGAGAAAGAAGGTATGAAAGACAGCAACTGAAAGGCAAATACGTGTACTGAGGAAGACAGGGCTCCAAACATGGCATGACAAGAGAAGTAACAGAAGTAGATCTGAGGATGAGGGAGAAGCTTTATCTAGGTAAGAAAGGAGGCTAGACTATTAAAAGACCAGGTTCTTGATCTAATTATAAGGTATGATACTCTTTGTGCATATTAAAATCTAATTGCTATTTTTCCTTCAATGATCAATAGACATGTGATATGAATTAAAATCAAGGACAACATCATATGAATGAAGACAGCGAAGACCACATACAACAGACTACAAAAACGATAATATTTTCTAGCTTCTCCAATCAAAAGGTGGAGTCTATTTCGCCACTTACTGAATTTGGGCTGAGACTTGCTTTGTGCAAGAGGACACGGCAGAAGTGATGTGTTATTTCTGAACCGAGTTCTCTAAAGGCCTTGCAAATTCTACTTTTGCTCTTTAAAACCCTGGAACCACTATATGAAATAATCCAGGTGAAATGGTTAATTTTATGTGTACATTTAACTGGGCCAAGGGGTGCCCAGACGTTTGGTCAAACGTTATTATGGATGTGTCTGTTAGGGTAAATTTGGATGAGGTTAATATTTGAATTGGTAGACTGAGTAAAGACAATTGCCCTCCCGATTGTGAGCGGGCCTTATCCAATCAATCGAAGACCTGAATAGAACAAAAAAGCTGAGTATGAGGGAACTTCTGCCTGGCTGCACTGAGCTGGGACACTGGTCTTTTCCTACCTTGGGACTAGAACTGAAACACTGGCTCTTCTTGGGTCTCAGGCCTGCTGGAATCTGGACTGGAACTTACACTATTACCTATCCTGGTTCTCAGGCCTTTGTACTTAGACTGGACCTACACAATCTGTTTTCCTGGGTCTCCAACTTGCCAACTGAAGATCCTGAGACTTCTCGGCCTCCATAATTAAGTTAGCGAACTGCTTACAACAAGGCTCCTTCTATAAAAACACACGCACACCCTACTGGTTCTATTTCTTTAGAGAAACCAGGCTAATACTCTAGGCTTGCCTACTGGAGAATGAGACACATCCCAAAGTCTTTGGTCATCCCAAAGTTTCCTGTCAGCCTTGCAAACAGTCTGCCAACCACCAGAAATGTAAACAAGGCCATCCTAGGTCATCCAGAATCCAGTCAACCTGCCTGCTGACCAAAGACAAATGAAGGTATCTAGCTATCAGTCCAGTTGGCCCACAGAATCATGAGCAAAATAAATCATGGCTATTTTAAGCTATTAATGTTTCAGGGTGGCTCTTAAGCAGCAAAAGCTGATACACCAGGGTTATGCTTATTATTTGCTTATTATTAAAGTTGAATATGGAATAAAGTTTGGTTAAAATCAGCACAATCTAAACAAAATTAAATTCCTAATTGTATAATATGCAATGTGGGTATTTATTCTACTGAGCAGTATAGGAAACAAAGTGACAAAATTAATTTATAAGGGTTAAGGTTATCCAGGAAGGTAGAACTGTAGGAGAGGCTACCACTAGACAAAAAGAAAATGGATGGCATGATATCACAGCCTGTGAGGTGGGGGAGAGAATCAAATGCAGACTATGAGGAAAAACAAAGAGATACTAGTACTTTTACATAATATTAAGTTTCTGTCTCTAAAAAAACCCCAGCTTTTTGGCTAAGTGTACTGCTGAAGATTTACTCATAAGTGTGCATACACACTATTACGCTTACCAAAATGATGCAGTTAAATAAGACGAAGTAAAACTTAAAAACTGAAGTACCCTATTGGGTATAAGTAATACAAGTAAGATGAACTTGGCCTACAACCAAAAGTTTTCTTTGATCAAAACCAATATAAACTTGGCAATGAAACAATCACTATGCATAGGATGATGTTTAAAATTGTTTATAAAAAGCCTTAACACTTATCTTTTAGTTTTATCATAGTATATAGGTAAATTAAATGTCTGAAACCAAGCATACTTACTTTATTGCTTTGGATATCAGGATGGGGTGGTGAATCAAAGTTTATTATGGCATGCAGAATATCATGTGTTAGATTACTAAGGTGCAATAACGGATTGGCAACTACTGTTTTGGCACTGGCTGTACAAGCAAAGAGGAGAGGTACTGAGGTTTGTTCTGAAAGAGGGCTAGGAAATATTGGTTCTGCTGTTTCCTTAAAAAACAAAGGGGAAAAAGGTTAATCAACTATTTATAGTTATAATCCATTAAGTAATTCAGGGTCTCTTTGAAAAACTTCAGAACAATTAAAAATTAAAAGCATAACAAACTTTTACAGAGTTAGAAGGGACGATCAACCTTCCACCAATTATAATGAAAACTGATGGGACAATACGCTCGTATCATCATCTCACAAGGCATTCGTATAAGAATGTTTAATATGAATTAAGCAGATCACAGGGTCTGATATCAAACTGTCCTTAAACCACAATGCATTCACAACTCTAGAAATCCATAATATGAAGCACCACACAAAAAGCAGAATTCCTTAAAGCAACCATAATTAAGAAAATCAACAATTTTAACATTTTAAAACTAAAAAAGCAATCTCAAAAACTGTTTTTCATACAAGTAGTATTTTGACTGGTTATCATGTAAGTTACATACCTGCTGAGATTCTTGTAAAAGCAAAATCAATTCCATTCTCACAGATGCAAGACCCCCACCATGGGATCCATGCAGTATGCAGTAACTAAGAAACATCCTCAAGAGTGACTGATATTTCAAAAGCCACTGTCTTTTTTCCTCAAAATTTTCTCTCAGTTGTTTCACTTTTGTTTGATGAAGCAAATCTTCAGCATCTTCATTTAATCCAAATGCATCTCCATTTTCACCAAATGCAGACTGTAATTCTTCAGGATCTGAACAATAGTCACAAGTTCTCTGAAGGGCTATCACCTCTTTTTCAAGCCAGTGGTACAGCTGGTATCGCAATTTTCCACCATCTATTTCATATCCGGTAGATAAAGTACGAAGTTCTACCGTGAGAATCTTTAAACATGCTCTAAATTTTAACTGAACTGCAATGATATCTTCTGATGGATTTAAAATGTCATGTTCATCTAGTGTGCTGAGAGAGTCTGTGTACTTAGAACTTGTTTCATCTATTTTTTTCCCTACTTTTCTCTGTAAAGGTTTTAGTTCTTTCATTGAAACAGGGAGATCCTCATTTTCTTCATCGTTATCACTGTCCCATTTTAATTCTAAAGAGTCATCCTGAAATACAATACTTGGTTGGCTCCAGTCAAAAGAAAGAGTGGAATTTGACTGCTTCTCTGAGGAACCCTCTGAAGAAGATCCAAAACCATTCATCAGTGACTGTGACCAATCAATAGCAGAAGACTTATCTTCCCTTGCATCCAATTTGAATGGAGAAGAAGGAGAACAGACTTTACTAGTATCCAGAAAACTAGATGTTCTACAAAAAGGTTTCGTTTTTTTGATGACTTTTGGCATCTTTGATAATACTTCCAAAGCCAACATAGGGCAGCCAGCTTTTAAATGAGCACTGGCAGTAGTAAAAAATAATCTTCTTTCACTTAAATTAATTGTTCCTGCCAGTCCACTTTTTCCTGTTAAACTCATGTGTGTGGAAAACGCATCAGATGATCCAAAATGACGTCTCAGCAAAAGAGGATGTGTTCTTAGATAATTGTAGAAATTAAAAACAGCAGGATTGCAGGCTGACATCATGACTTGATCTGAAAGTAAATTCATTTTATGAGCCAAGAAAAATTCTTCAAGGGTTGTACTGTAGCCCTTTTTCTCTACCATGGCACCTTTATCTACCTGGTCTTCTAAGAAAAATTTAAGAGACCAAACTAATACATAGCACTGAATAGACAAGAACACAGTTGTAATGAAAGCGTTCTAACATAGTAGGAAAACAAAGATTATGCTGATTTCACATCTCTTCAGGTAACAATCTAAGACATTTTAAAACATCCAGTTACACACTCTTAGTTCTTTTTCTCCTACTTTCCTGGACACTTCATCTCAGTCAGTCTGCTTTGCTAGATCCTCCTCATCTTCTCTACTTTTAAATGCTGAGTGTCCTAGAGTTCAGTGCTTGACCTCCTTTCTATCTACACTCCTTGAGTTAAATCCTACAGTCCCACAGCTTTAAATACCATCTATATGTGATAACGTGCACATCTCTATTTCTAATAGCAATTTCACCCTGTAAATCTAGAATGCTATATCCAAAGGCCTACATTACGTTTCCATTTACATGTACATATTCTTGCCTCAAGGCCTTTTTATTTACTGTGCCCTTGGCCTAAAAACCAGATATCTGCACTGACTGATTACTCACTCATTTCAATTAGGTCTCATCTCAAAGGTCACCTTATCTGAGAAGTCTTTTCTATCTAAAGCAACACTCTCCAAACTCTGCTCCTAGCCTTCCCCCTATCACTTATCTATTGCTCAAACTAAAAACCCAGGAGTTAAACTTGACTCTCATTCCCTTCATATTCCATATCCAATTCAGTCCTATCTAGTCAACCTTAAAATTATAGTTGAAATCCAACCACTTCTATTTCCCTGTTTATCACTATTTTCTTCAAAACATTTATATTCAAACGTTGAAAACATCTATGTTCAATAAGAAAATCCAAAGTCCTTGGTTTTCAAAGGATTTAGCTTCCTGGTGGGGGGGGGAAATAAAAAATAAAAAACTGTATACATAACTCTGTCTCCCCAACTAAACCATAAAGTCTTAGACCATGTACGTCTTCAATTTGCTCTGCATTATCCTTAGCACCCAACAGTGTGCTCTGAACCTGACAAACACTAATAAAACTTTTAAGCATTAACATCTTAGAAGTATAGCTTACCATCATCCTCTCTGATAGGTTGCTTTATTAATGTTTCCAGAGCACTACTATAATCTTCTAAAATCCAATATGCCATACTCCGAAGAAAAGGATCATAATGCATATTTATATTCAACAAATTGAGTTCATTGACAGGAGAATCAATTCCCAAAACTTTTTTACGTAAAATAGATTTGTATGTTGCAGATGTATCAAATTCAGACTCATAGAGTCTTGCTATTACAAGAGCTAACTGAATGTCATTCAGTTTCTCAAGACATACCTTCAAAAACAAGAAATATTGTTTATAAATAAGGGTATCTTTCATTTTAAGGTAAACTCAACTCACTAATAACTAGATGAACACAAAGCTTTATTAATATCTGAAAATAGTGAACAAGGACAATAAACAAAACATATGCTGCTTGCTTCAGCAAATCTACTTGACAACATTTATGTTAATTTATCTGGTAGTACTAAATACATATTTGCAAAAAGAATTAGCCTAATGAAAAACCACTGAATAATTGCTAAAATGACACACTTTGTTTTATTCTTGAGCTTTTACCCTTCCCCATCCACCTCAGCAGACTATAATGTTTCCAAATCAAAAAGATGTTTTGAATCACTTGTATGAAACTCTGAGCAAAAGGGCAATTTGAAACAGAAATGTTATATTTTAAATATTTATAACTTTTTGTAAGGTTTACTTAGAAATAATTAGCTAAAAATTTCCTAAGGTTTGTCAACTAACACAGAGCCAAATATACGTCCGAATGTGTTTAAAGTGACAGGACAAATATTTTATTTTTTTAACCTGTTCATAAATATTCTTAAGAGTCAGATCAACTACCTATCTCTACCAACCAACACAACCTGGTTAATTTTAATTCTGTATAAATATCATTCAAGCTAAATGACAAAATTTTAAAGTCACCATTAAATATTACCAGGTACTTCAGGCATTAAGCCTTGTGTTAGTTCCACTATACTTGAGTTGAAATTAAAAAACAAAATTGAAACCATGAAGAGCTTAAAAGGATGACAATGCTATTTTTAAAAAAATTCATTCTTTACCTCAATTGCATCTCTGAGGCAACCAGCTAAAAGAAAAAATGCTGCTGAATGTTCAAATCTTTGTTTTCCTAACAAAGAAAAAGCATTCTTTAAAGCTGCTTTACGCCATCTCTCATCCTCAAAATTGTGCCCAAAAAACTGTGTCATCTTGGAATCTTTTTGGGATCTATAAAGAAAAAAGTTTGAAAATTTTGGAACATAATGCTTCTACATCAAAACCAATTGTTATGAAGTTAGCCACTTAAAAGTTAAGACTCAGAAGAAACATTTACCAGTTCATAAATTACTATACATCTGCTGCTTTTCTGAGCAAAAATAACATTTATGGTAAACATTTACTTTTCCATATAAATTTCAGAGATTATTGAAAACATTCTTTCAAACTATGAAGAAACTACATTAACAGCACTGTGAAAAATTATTTTTAAATCTATACAAAATATATAATTTACATTAACTTCTGTGCTATTTTACCATTTAAACTTAATCAACTGCCTTTAGCCCAACTGCCCACCTGAAGATGACTTTGATGATAAAAATCCAAGGAATTTGTCCCGAAGCAAAACAATCCTAAAAGATCTAGTCTCTTACAACTGATACCATGATTTTCCCCCAAAGGTTGCTGATCATATGGATATATCTAGAACTGAACCCCAAACGAATAGTGAACTATTTATGGTGATCACGCTCACCAAGTCTAGCTGAGAACAAGTGAAAGAGAAAAATTCTAAATGACTCTAGCAAGAATGGGGTCAGGGCCCTTGGGAAGAGGGTGGTTTGGAAGAATAGCCTGGTCCAAGAGCTCCTTGATAGGGCAGAGGGTAGATGTATCTTCAAAGCTCCACCAATTCATCTTCTTCCCCACTCCAGATAAAGTTTCTGGTTTAGTTTTTGTTCTACAAGAGCATCATAAGAAGTTATTAAAATAAGCAAAAAAAAATGTTTTTCTGGACTGATAAACCTAAAAAATGCTAATGTGACCTCATCAAGATTCTTCTGCTCTGTAACCTGGGCTTCTTTCACATGAAATCTCTTAAATACAAAAATAACTAAGAATCCACATGAATCACACTAACAAGAACAACAAATCTTTACTTCATACTCTGTGGAAAGTTTTTCATTTTGAAGCAGTTTTTTCACCTACCTATATAATCCCCAAATCACAGCTTTCTTTTTCATTGCAAGGTAAAAAATGGCAGCATCTAAAGGATCATTCTTTTTATAAAAGGCTGCTTTGGCTACCTATAATTAGAAAATATTGGTCAAAATTTCACGGTAACAGTTTTTAATTAAATAAACAAATACTTTCCTTCATATACGAGACTGTCATACATTCTCTACTTAAATGTTCAATAAACTAAAAAATGTGTATGAACACACACATGTATATGTAAATTTATTAATTTATTAATTTATTTTATAATTACAAAAGTAATCATGGTGGTGGCCTCCAAGATTACAGAGATGGAAACAGGACTACACTTTTCATTGCAAGCTCTTCTGTACTGTTTTATTTTCCTAAATGTGTATATATATTATTTTGTATATATCAATAAAAAATGCTAATATATCAACTAGCAATTTAAGAATTAGAATATAAATTGTTAAAAATTATGCTATTTTGAAATATAAAGACTATTTAAAAGCATTTTACTGCTAAAAAAAAAAAGAGTAACAGGAGAGGAAATATGCAACATCATGTAAATAAACATGCAATATATATTAATTCATTTTTACACCAAAATAAAACACTCACCTTTTCTATACATTTGCGTAAGATGCGGGTATTCCGGACCCACCACCCCACACCCATAGCTCTAAGTTCAGACCATGTGGGATCATCTTTCTGCATTGCTGGCAACATGTTCAGCAGTTCTTCTTCTGCTACTGAATGAAAGGCCCAGGCAAAATGACTACTAGACAGGCCTGAAGAAATATCAAAAATAATGTTTATAAGAAAATAAATGATTATATAATGATGATCAGAAATGTGTGTTCCATAGTTGCAATAAAAATGCCTAAAAGTTTATATAAGACTCACAGAGTTATAACTGTTTGGGGTTGGAGGGAATATGGGGTTTTTTCTTGCTTCTCCAAGTAACCCAATCATCACATCAATATTTTCTACAATGAGCATATATTTTCTATAATTAAAATATATTTTTTTAAAAAGATAAGGAAAAACGCTTATGGGCAAATGCCACTGTGCTGAGTCTTTCTATTCTATAGTATGTCTGACATCCTTTGGTCAACATTTGTTGTGTGGATTTAATTCCATGGAATCAAAAAAGCACCAAGGAGACAGTACAGCTGGTGAACAGAACTTAAGACTGCAAAAACTCTGGAATCAGAATGCATAAATTAAATTCTAGCTCCACCCTAACTAACTATATAACTTTGGGCAAGCTACTTAACCTCTTGATTCCTCAATTTTCTTATTTACAAAATGTGAATAATCATGGCACCTACCTCATTACATTGTTGTGAGGATTAAAAGAAATAATATAGTTAAAGCATCTGGGATAGTACCTAGCACATAATAACTTTTATTACCCCATAATCACTATATTAATAAGATACTTTTATATTTATAAAGCATCATTTACATTAGCAAGTCTCTCAACCTACTGGCCCACACATGTGGGGTTTATCGTTCAGCTTTTTTTTTTTTTTTTTTTTTGTGGTATGCAGGCTTCTCACTGCTGTGGCCTCTCCCGTTGCGGAGCACAGGCTCTGGACGCGCAGGCTCAGCAGCCATGGCTCACGGGCCCAGCCGCTCCACG